AAAATAACCTCTGTGCTAAACAAACACTCAAAACAGGGTTGAAACTGAATGCGGTGCCTTTATCGCCTGCATAAACACACTAGCTTGCCAAAATCAGTCTTCGTTCTGCATTCAAAGAGAGACAACACTTCAGCGCAGAGATATCCTGACTAAACACGAGCGGCTCATATTTGGAGAGCCGAGCTCGGCCGACACCTCTGACACCATCCTCAGCACGACGCGCGCTCTCTGTTTGATCAGCTGCGAGTAAGAAATTAAACGAATCAGCATGTTTACTGAGACGAGGAAGAGAAAACAGGAAGCTGCGGATTGGGTGCTGATGGGGATAAGCGAGTCGGAGCACCACTGAGACGCTGACTGACTGAGAAGCGGGTGACCGCGCTGAAAAATGACAGGCATGATGGGAATTATGAAACGTGGCAGCTTGGCACAGAGATCACATTCAGCGCTGTCTGTGATTGAAGTAATTAAGTAACTGTAACATTTGCTCCAACTTGGCAAAACACAGCCAATCAACTCGCTCTGCCACATGACAGTACTACTACCACCACCTCCGCTTAACAGCTACCTGACAGGAACGTCTGCAAGTGCCAAGGGATGAAAGGAGGAGGAGAACGCACAAAAGCAGAAATGACAACATGCAACGAGGCACACTTTAGGAAACAGGAAGCAAGAACATTAAAGAGGTGATAAGGTCAAACTGATCGAGGGAAACAGCACGGCAAGATAAACAGGATGCTAGAAGAGGACAAACTATAAAACCACGCGACAGAGCAACAATTACAAATAAGGTGGTATGCAGAGACAGCAACAAATGAACAAAGGAAGAAAAAAAAACTACATGGAGCTGCTGAAACTGCCTTACATATGATTACAAAACAGCTAATTAACTCAGTTTTAATTGGACGATATTGATAATCAGTTAAGTACCATGTCTGTTTTACATGTTTGTTACTTCTGTTACATTTAATTGATGAAAACTATCATATTTGGTAATACAGCTCCAGAAATTTTCATGGGTGAAAACAGGAAGAAGTTAATGGTTCTTAAAGAAAATATAGAAAGTGAATATGAGATAAGATAACTGTGAAAGTTCTTTGTCTTCAATGGTGAAAATGGAATCAGGACAATGATGCTGGGTGGATGGTTTAAGAGAAAGTTTTTCCAGGGTTTGACATAGAGAACAGTTGATGATGATGATGAAGATGAGGGTGGCGGTGGCACAAGACAGAAGCACACACAAGCGTCAGCAGTGCGATGACTCACACCCAGAGACCAACAGAGAGCCGTGAGATGGCAACGATGGGGAAGCTCACTGAGAGTTCAAGGAAAGGAGGGTCGGGGGATTCATGAAGGGAAGCTCAAGATGTCCAGGTTCTGACCAATCAAAGCGCTGGAAAATAATTTCCCGTACTCCCTACCTGGGGAGGCAGCGTCCCCATCCAGCAGGTTGTCGTCCTCGGTGGTGTGGAAGTCCATGATGACGCCGGCTCCATCCAGCAGCTCCTCGTCGCTGCTGGCGCTGGCGATACTGTTGTAGCTGTTCCTGCAGTAACCTCTGTGGTACAGCTGCTCCGACTCCATTTAGCAACGCGCCGGGACCCTGGGTGATAAGGAGGGGAGTGGTGGAGTTATACATATTGTGCTTGATTAAAGAGTCTACATGGTGAAGTGAGGCTATGAGGGGCACAGGTGAGCAGGGTGGTATGTTAGAAGGTAAATAGCAACGATGGATGGACACAACAAACACATTGGAATCAAATACAGCAACGCTTTGATGGCTGATACATTCACCGAATGGTCTGTAGACCTGTGTGACTGGGGCTCGCAACTGGTCGAAGAATACCCATCATTACTTCATGACCAGTGGATGCCAAATGGTTGCAGACTGGTCTCTAGTCCAGTATGAATGGAGACTTATTCACATGATCCTCTACTGTCACACATCCAGACATGTCATGGGTCTGCAAGTACACTTTATCCCACCCCAAACAGAAAGTTTTACCCTCTCTCTTTTTCATGCATCACACATGCTTTGTATCTCCATCTGTATTAACTGAATAATATAAAAACAGATAACAAGATATTACACCATTTAATCTGTTGGCGTTTTGCAGAGCGTAGCTTTGATATGATAAAACTCCAACGTGATAAACCATCTGCAGCCATTAATTTCTTTCTGCAGACGAGAGGGATGAGACATCCATTCAGCTGAAAGATGAATGCAGGCTGACAGCGGGTAATGAGAAGAGAAAAACGCACGATGATGAAGATGATGATCAGCTCGTGACCCAAAGTGAACCCTTCATGGCAATGACGTGGCACAGCAACAAATCAGACCTGAGGCGCAGTGAGCAGAAGAAACCTCCAGCCTCTAACTGAAGAGTTCAGTCCATCAATAAATCCCAGTGTTGGGGTTATTTTTCAGACTTAAATGGGTCATTTAACCACAAAAACCCCCCAAAACCTAACAACCCTATATTATTACTTCTTCATAACGCTGGTCTAAAGTCTTTTTTCCTACATGTGTAAAAGCTTTATTTTGTTTTGTATGCCCAATGTTTCAATGGTGTTTGGCATATGAATAAGAGACATTTCTTTATTTTTGTTTCTTAGCCTACTTGTTTTCTTCAGACAACACTAAAAATTTTAAATCTTAATTATTTGATACACCAAGATGGCGCCGAGTATGGCAGCCTGTCGCGAGCTCCCCCAAGCAACAGCTACACTCTTACATTGTACATTTATTACTCTCAGATGTAGCCATTCTTATATTTTGCTTGTTTTGTGTTATTGTATTTTTGCACAACTCTGTTGCTTGTGAAGCTCGCACACAAGAATTTCACTCGCATGTACTGTACCAGTGTACCTGCACATGTGACGTGACAATAAAAGTGATTTGGTGATTTATTTGGCAAAGATGATGCACCAAACCGAAGGCCCTTCCACCCGCAGCGCAGCCAAGTGAAGGTTATTTATAGACTGAGGGATTAAAATGACACATGGGTATCCTCTCCACAATGAGAACACGATTATGATAATATGAAAATAATGCTGGGGGGAAAATTACAGAGCCTGTTCAATGCCACTGCACGCCACCTGCTCTTACATCTCGCCCCCTCGTGGAAAAGTTGGAAACGACACCTCAATACGTAACCACAAACGTGACTCAGGACCAAACCAAAAGTGATCCTGACCAGGCCCCACACACGATGACAGTGCAGCAGGTCCTGAAGATTAAAGGTGACCTTCGGCTATTAATAGAAATATGTACCCTGAAACATGATGAGCCACGCTGTAATGGGGAAAGATGGAATATCAGCAGCCTGGTGCTGAATAATGGAGGGTCTTTATTAATCAAGGATGCACAGGTGGCTCTATATTTATCCAACACACTTGTGAAAGGAGATTTGGGCTTAAAGCAGACATTAGCTCTTCTACAGGAGCTAAACTTCCTACTCAGACTGTGTTGTTAACTTTTTATTGAGACAAAAAAAAAGAAAAAAGAAAAAAAAAGAGCAAGACAGAAAAGTAGCGTAGAGCTGAAACCTTCTTTCTGACCACTGCTGATTTCTGTGTGTGTGTGTGTGTGTTTTTCCCTGCTTGGATAACACTGACTGAATTATGGCCAGAAGTAAAACATGCTTAGTCAGCCCTGTAGTTCCTACGTTGCTTCACGCTAAAGTCGTTCATTTCCTGACGGGTGTTTCTCCACACAGTGCTTTTCTTCATATTACTTCCTGAAACCAGTTAAATTTAGACTTCAAGGTGCACAAAACTCTGTTTTAAGATAAAAACAGCGGGGAAGGCACCGCTATTGTTCATCTATCTTCACCTTGTCAGATTATATCTGCATAAAGTTTGAGGGTTTTTCCCCGCTCTGTTGCTTTTTCAGGATTATAAGGAAGTGTTTCTTTTCTTCATTAAGTATTGGGATACTGGAACTCACTGTGGAACTCTAGATTGACTTTTAAAATAACCATATGTCCATGATGGACATATGGTTGTGACATCTCTCTGCTATCTTGCTAGCCTTCATTCAACAGCACCATATGAGGTACTTCTCCACGCCCTGCAGCGTTGGTTGCATTGAATTTTTTGTCACATTTGGCAACTGCTTCGATGTAACTGAGGCTACGTCCACACTAGCCCGGATAGATTGGAAAACGGCGTTTTCATCTGAAAACGCTCCGCGCCCACACTAGCGTTTTCAGTCGTTTTCACAGAGTTGTGCGTCCACATTGAAACGGCCCAAAACGCTTACGTTTCAGTCCTGTGCGCATGCGCACAAGCGAGTGAGAATTAAAGAATTTGAAGAAAAGCTATCTGGAGCGTGTACAAACTGATATTCATCTGTCAAAATTGAGAGCAATCAAAGCAACTGCTGTATAACGCCCTCCGCTATCTTTGTTTAATTGGTCAAATGACTGCATCACATGACTAAAATGCGTCATCGTTTTAGAAAGGCTGCGTTTTCGAGTGTCCACACTGCGATGGGGCAGCTCCGTTTTGAAATGAATGCGTTTTCGAGAGCGTTTTCAAAACGCTGCGTTTTTCCTTGAGGAAAATGCCATCAAAATGGAGAGAAAACGAGAGAAACGTGTGGATGAAGCCTGTGATGATCAACTGGTCACCCAGAGGTGGAACATGCGACACGTGGCAACCTGTTTCCAACGATCGTGGTCCGCCTCAGATTGACTTCAATCATTCTCAGACAGATTGGTGAAGGCTTACAGGGTGAGGTTTCTGGTTTCAGGGTTTCTGCCTATGGCATTTGGCAGTTGAATCACTATCTGGCAGCACCTACCTCACGATTTGTGGAGGCATCTATGTGAATTTCTTTAATGTCATTTTCTCCATATGTACAGCAGACGGCAACAGATCTGCAATTTTCAATTATTACTCATCACAATTAATAATTGTGCACTAATACACAATTTATCATCGTCTATCCCGCTCAGTTTGCATGATAAAATGCAAACTGATCAAAATGTATCAAATACAAATGCTAAGTCATTAAATATCCCGTTCTTACCCACCCGCAGGAACCACACAAACATGTTTCTCATAACTGCCCCCCTCCCTTCAGACGCTGTTCTGTAGTGAAAATCTCTCACCTCCAACAAGCAAACGCTGACACTTGTTATGACAGCACACGACAGCCTTCTGCAAAGGCCAACGGTGGAGCTACAGAGCAGTAATCCTCACTGGAACCAGCTCCACAATGTGAGGAAAGAAGAAAAGACAAACTTTCCCCGAGCCAACAATCACACTCATTCACTGTGAGACGGGATTTCCCTTTGAGCTTTATCAAATCAGTACGGTCAGGAAATTCAATTCAGCCTATTTGCAGAAACAACCCTGAGGCAGAGATTGTTTTCTCTTCGCTGTTTGACCTCCAGTTACATAAAAACTGCCAAGATCTTGGATCCATACTCTGCCAATTCTGGCATTTAAATAAAGCGCACAGCAGGGGTGCTGACTCACGAAGCATCGCAAGCTAAGACAATAAAATGCACGTATGAGATGAACCACACTGCTGCGTCTCTTAATGATGGACAGCTTCAATTCTAACCATCGTATTTTCTTTTACTCAGCTCTGCTAGTGCCATGTGATAGCTATAATTATGACAGTCTGCAGTGTACTTGTTCAAGTTTCCCCTCTTTCTCTGCAACAGAAATCAAAACAATAATTACACCAGGGAGACCGGAGGGTGTTGATTATTTAGGAGCTGCAACCGAGCAACTCAGATTGCAGCTCGCTGTTTGAGGGTAAGCTGATAAGTGCGGCATAATCAGCAGCGCAGCAACAAAATGCTGCAGGGTCTGCCGATGTTATACAACTAGCGAGGGACCTTATCTTTCTTCAGCCGGTCACTATGGAGGTGTTGCCCAGGCGACTGTTGCTGAGATGTGACTCAGCTTTTTACCCTCCCTCTAACGGCTGGGCTCGTACCTCCTTCACAGAGAGGACTTGACATGCGTATCCATCATAGGCAGCGGGCGGTCGATATATGGATCGTGAACATCCGATGTAGAGCAGCACAGCACAGCACGGGGCTTTCACTCATCATAATTAACAGCACTTCAGCAACAAGCAGCCAACTGCTCTGACTGTGTCACTGACACCGATGGCTGAAGGTGTGAAGTCATGCAGGGAAGTCAATTTGAGAAAATAACACACACATATACAGCCAAACATGCACATATAATAAATGTAAGCAGTTATTAGTTTACTGAAACAGACGAGTATCATTTAATCAACTTATATCATCATTTTTCTGCCACTTCAGCACCAAAGTTACACCCAATAGAAATGATCGTTTCCAAAATGCTTTATAATTATTTAACGAGCAGTCAAAGTAAAATGTAATAAGGGTAATACTTATAATAACACTACTACTATCAGTGATAATATATTTGATCAGATAGGCCGTAGTCAAACAGGGCTATAGACTAGTTGTGACCATCTGGCAACCACCAGCTACAAGTGGAAAAAGCCCCCCCAAAAAGCAAAGTGTATTCTCTCCCCAGTTGGCTAGTGTCGCTAAAAGTTGATAGCAGTGTCTGTGAAGACTGCTAAAGGCCCAGGCACATTTGTTG